GCATACTTCATGGCAAGGAGTTCCTTGTCATGCACTGGATAGTTCCGCTCAGCTGGTTGCAGCTGACGCGACTGATAGCAGACGACGCGTTCAACGCCTTCAAGGTCGTACTGCATTAATGCACAGCCGATTGCGAAATCGCTGGCATCACAGACCACATGAAATGGCCTGTCCTGATCGGCTATTGCTAGGACTGGGGATTGTATCAAGCTCTGCTTGATACCCTCAAAGGAGCGTTGACATTCAGCGTTCCATAACCACCTCTCGTTCTTTTTCAACAAACGAGAGAGGTGTACAGTCATCTCGGCGTAATTGCGTGAATACTTATGCAAATACGCCGCTAGCCCAAGGAATTTTCGAAGACCTTTGACATCGACCGGCACAGGCCAGTCGGTGATCGCCTTGATCTTTTCGGGATCAGGACGTACACCGTTCTTACCAACGATGCACCCAAGAAGTGGTATTTCGCTTGCTGCAAATATACACTTCTTGAGGTTTGCATACAATTGATGCTTTCGCATGATTGTAAGAACTTGTCGGACGTGGTACCTGTGAACTCAACGTCCGACTTTCCATCCATAGCTCGACTATGGATGAATACGTCATCGAAATAACTCGGCGCGAACTCGTATTGGTCTCAACAGATGTGATACACATCTGTTGAACGTGGCAGGGGCATTACTGAGCCCTTGTGGCATTACTAGCCATTCCCAGAGCATGCCGCTAGGCGTGCTAACTGCGGTATAGGGTATATCCCGTTCCCGCATTAGGATTTGATAGAAGCCATCCATCAAATCCATGGACGAAAAGATGGTACTCTTTGACATACCATCAATGATTACGTCCTTCCTCGGTATCGGCGTCTGAGCCGGTACCGTTGCAGCGTTCAATTTGTTAAACGCGTGCACTATCCGCCACCCTCCTGTTGCTTTTCGCACACAGAAGGTCGGAGAGCTATGTGGGGAAGTTGATTCCCTCACATGGCCTGCTGCTAAACGATCGGCAAAGAACTTGTCGATCGCAAGTACTTGTTCACGAGGCAGTGGCCACTGCTTCATGACACAGTACTTCGAGCCTGGTTTAAGCTCGACTTCGTGTCGAATACCTTTATCCTTCGGTAATTCGCACGGAACAGTTTCAGGGAATACATCCTTGAATTCAACCAAATCTTCATAGAGAGGATTTTCCTTGAGCGATTCCCATGATTGGGACTCATATCGCTCAATTCGTGTCTTTTCATCTAGGACACTCTCGTCCATAGATGAACCACTGAGAACTCTCTCGTTCTCAGTAAACACTGTTGCTGACCTTATGTCGGTTACATACTCGTCGTCAGCGACGAGTATGCAGATCTGCTTGACTTTGCCACTACGCAGATCACGCAAGAACCTTTTATGTTCGAGCGTTGGCAACTGAGTGATCTCCGAAGTTAACTTCGGAGGCGCAATCAGATCAAGTGTATAAGCGCCTACACATGATCCGTTATTGACTATGACATTCAATGTCTCTGTCATTTCCTGGGGACTTATTCCCTCAGGCTTCGAAGGACTTATTCCTTCGTCTTCCCGGGGACTTATTCCCGCGGGTTTCGGGGAACTTATTTCCGCCGTATTTGTAATCTTGGGACTTATTCCCTTTACTTCCTCTAGCTGGGGTTGCGCAACCACAGCGAGATCCTCTACGAAAGACTCTCCAGTCGATCTAGGATTATCGTTTCGCTTAACCTGAGCGATCGATTGTTTCTCTTCTAGATGTTCCCCTCTAGGGATACATCTTTGTCCCAGTCCACCCGACTTATTCGAGTGGTGGACCTTCGGCGCAGCCTGTGTTTCCTCACAGCCGCCGGAACTTTGCTCCGAAGTGTAACCGTTTGGTACACTAAGGTTTTGTGCAGTCGTACTAACGACCGTACCACAAGTGAGGCCATCGCACTCACTCGTAGTACATCCACACGCTTGTGGACGCTTCCAAAACGTTCATCAGATGGCCATCTGATGAACAAGCGGCAGGCATCGTTACTGTCCGATGTTGCCAGTTTACCCGTGGTTCGTACCTTCTGAGCCACGGTATTCCAAGGATGACATCAAATTTGTCATCCAAATCCAATACGATAAAGTCATCGTCGTATTGGGTATCTTCTAGCGTATAGTGAATCTTCACTATACGCTTCATGACGGTTACGGATGCGCCTGTCGCAAGACGTACCGTCATCCTCGTAGGAGGTGTGTCACATTCACTGAATTTAAAGTGACCATCTTCTAGCGATTGGCGTCGCACAAAATTGTTGGACGCCCCACAATCGACTAGAGCTCGAAGGGACAACTTATTCGTCACTTCGAGTTTCAAGGTAATGAGTGAGATCTCATTACCTAGAGCAGCAACGCACAATGTCTGTGTGTTGGGAGCAACCTTCATCAAGAGGCCTACAAATTCTCTTGACGTTGCTGGATCAGTAGGGTGCTCCGCACCTACTGATCCTGTCCGTTTTTTGACGGTCCATCCCGTTGTTGCGTCTTTGCACCAACTGCGGACCCTCGTCCCTGCCCCTTTCTCATGGGTGGACGGTCACTACGCCCAGTGTCGCGAGACACTGGACGAGGGGCACTACACTCGTAAGCGTAGTGTCCTGTCTTTTGACATCTGTTGCATCTCTGCAACTTCTTGTAGCCTGTAGAGCGAGCCTTCTCGCTCTCTACATAACAGAGTTCCATCGGCTCTGGACCTCCGTTGTCATATCGTCTCGGTTGACGATATGATGTCGAGCTGGCGCGAGCCTGTCTCAGACTGAAGTCTTCCTGTTCCGCAATGGAAATGGCTTGTTCTAGTGAATCTAGTTCAAGTTGGAACAGGTGAGTCTTGACGGGACCATCCGCAAGACCCTGCATGAACACCGAAACCAACGTGTGTTGATCCACCGGATTGGAACTTATACAACTCGTAAGATGTCGTATATGTTGCGCGTAAGCGTGCACACCACGCTTACCTTGTTTGAGCTTCAAGAGTTCGGTTCGAGCTCTGAACGCGGCTCTAGGCGGTTCAAACGTTTGTCTGAGCCGCGACTTGAAGACTTCCAACGACCCAAACGCATATGGGTCGTGCAACTTGAGCCCCAGTGCCCAAGTCTTGGCACGTCCTGCCAGATTTGACTGGGCAAATGCAACTTGCATATCCCCGTCGTCGATGCGACGCGCCCTTATGGCGTCATCCAATTCGACGAACCATCTCAAGAGGGAGTCTTCTTCGACCCCCCTATACTTTGAGATGTCAATCTTCAAAGTCTCGGGCCGACGCGAGTGCATCGACCCGCCAGCAGCAGCCTGCTGCTGTCTCAACAGTTCAAACTGTTGAGCACCTTGTTCTCTCAACAACTCTGCTTGTTGAGAACCTTGTTGGTGAAGCAAGGCTACTTTCTCGCGTTCTGCGTCAAGTTCATTTTGAATGAACTTGGCGATAGTAGTCATGTTGGGCATCTCTATTGAGAGCCTCTAGCATGACGCTAACAGCATGGATGCCCATGGTCGAACCCATTCGTTCAACCGCATCCCATTCGACATCGCTCAAATGGGAGTAGCCGTCACGCGTAGCGTGAAAGCTTTGGTCATCTTCATCATCCAACATATTCATGTTGGATGTGAACGCGGTCCTTGGACGGACTACAAAGTGCTACCAGGTGTAACGGGGCACCCTGAAGCTTGTACTGGTGACAGTACAAGCTACTTATTCTGATAACAGAATAAGGCGGTGCCTCGTAACTTCACGTACACTCGTACGTGCAGAGGAAGACGGTAAGAAGAAGCGAGTACTCGGTTAGAGTAAAAGTAGAACTGTATTTATAATAGTTAATGTCTGCAATAAATCACTATTTATCTTCATCTAACTATGTCTAAATACAAATGTGTAAATCAGTTATCTGCTCACCACTCATTGCGTGCGTCTGTCGTGGCGCGTCTTCGTTGGTTGATATAATGGCCTATATCAACCAATTAGGAACTACTTGGAAGTGCTACAGAATATTGTCCTTATGACAATATTCTGAGAATATAACTCTTATAGTTATATTCTATTAACAATTTCTTATAAATTGTTATGTAACGATTCACCCCGTTACATGGCGATAGTGACGATGCCTTTAAGCATTACCACGAGCACAGTAACTCGAGAGACGGAGCTGCCACTGGTGTCAGCGCTCATGCTGACACCAATCAAGAGGCCAGGGACCGAAATGTCCTGCGCCACGCTCCTCAAGTGAAGTCTCCTTGGATGCCGTCATTTAAAGAGTTAAAACGGTTGGCCGACATGACTGCCGATCAGGATCGAATCCCGGTGTTCGAATGTAGAAAGATTTGCCCACATAATTCCAGCACGGAAACTATCCGTGCTGAGGAAGAATTTCTCACCGATGCATTTCTGGAAACGTCAGTGCTACAATGGCAGCCGTTGCCGCGACGGTAAGGCCTTGATGCAGGGATGGAATGATCTCATCCACAACATCGAGTGCTTTGGCCGTGAGGCCTGGATCGGTATACTTGATGCAGCTTGCATCAGGGGTTGAGAAGCGAAACCCAGCCGGTGTACGATAAAAGTTGCACCGATTGTCAAGAGAGGCAAAGTTAATCTGTATCACGTGTGGTGATTAACATCCAGGTTGCCTGGAAAATGCTAATTGTGCCCATAGGGAGGCCTCCCTCCCCAATGTTGCCTACTGGAGGGCGCGCATCTCTTTCAAGATTGACGAGGGAATTGAAACTTTGCAATCCCTGTACTCGCGTTCGGGAAAGTCGTTTTCCGACGGCCCTTCTTCGAACACAGCGGGTGGGTCTCGTCATATTGCTCGACGAGACCCAGGACATCAACGATCAGCTGAGCACGAGGCTCCCAGATGTCCCACGCCGGTGGATATCCACTCCAGCGGACGAGGTAACTCGTCCGGACGCCATTCACGTCGCGGTGGTTCAGATTACGCTCCACGAGAAAGCGTTGACTACCGCCAGAATCCTTCAATGGATGTGGTGGTGGTGAAAACACCTGATTTGGCTCGAGGGTCGAATCAGCTTGATGTTCAGGAGCTGAGCCGTGTAACCGATCAGTTAGACGATGACTTGGCTCATGAACTGAGTCGGCATTATGAGCTTCATGACCTTGTAAGGGAAAATTACAATTCCTTAGCGTGCAATCGTTCGAACGATCGTGCCGATTTTGCGTTCGCGCAACTTAAGAATGAACGTTCGACTCGTCCTCTTCGTGACGAGCTGGCTAGAGTTCGTCAAGACATCGCTCAACTGCGTGAACAGGTCGCTTCGCTAGTCGACCAGACTGGCTCGTTGAAACGGGACCACTCGAAGGTGGTCTCGGCTCTCGACCGCGGAGGTGTTCTTCGCCTCTTAAAAAGGGCTCGTACTGATATTACGGGCGGAGACGTCCAACGTCAAACGTAGGATGCGTACGCATCTCACGGGGCAGTTCAATCGCCTATGCGTTGCCCATACGGCGTAACACAAGAAATGGACCGATGCACTTGGGCAGTAATTTGCTGCTGCACATCTTTGTCACTGCGTTTCTCGGTAATTTTACTGTAGACAGTAAACTAAATCTCCTTGATCAAATTAAAGAACATTTGCTCTTTCATATTTGTCTGCGTTTCTTTTCTATATGTCTGTTGCATCTGCAATAGAGTCTTGATCGAAGCGGACAACCGCTTCGCGAGTCAGCAATAATTCCTCTTCTGATTCATTCTTGTTAACAGCAGTGCGCTTCGTGTGCACTTCTGAAAGCACGTTGTCTTCACCATTGAGGGCGTCACCGTCCTCACTGTCGCAGTCATCGGCGATGCAAACTGCATCGACATCGGCATCCATCACGTCGAAACCATTGATGACGTGTGATGAGCAAGAACCGGATCGGGTTTTGTTCGAGCGAGTCCACTCCCCCTTAAATAAGAGTCAAGGCGGGTAAACGTGGATGGCGTAGGCCATTCACAAAGAACGTTGGATGCGTTGTCGACGCATGCACCGATTTGTTGATGGCGAATTCTGCCATTCACAAGAACTCACTCCAACTCGTAAATGATTGGACGTACCCTCGAAGTATCTCTTCGAGGACACTGTTGACGCGTTCCGTCTGAGCATCTGCTTCTGGATGGTCAGAAGTCGACTTCTATAAACGTGTTCCAAGTCAACGGAACAAGGATTGCCAGAACTCCGCTGAGAAGAGAGGGTCCCTACCGGACACGAATTCACGGAGTAACCCGTGAAGTCGGAATATAGTATCGATGAAGACACGCGCACAGCCCTGGGCAGTGATTGACTCCGGTACAGCAACGAGATGTACCATCTTGCTGAACCGATCAACAAACACAAGAATACCCGTACTCTTATGAACGTCTTGGTAAACTTAAAGACGAAGTCCATCGATACGGACTGCCAACACTTTGCCGAAATTGTTAGAGGCTGAAAGGGTGCACGGGATGAAGGACTAGGCATAACCGATGGCAAACTTAGCAAGCGCGAATGTATTTGCGCACAAACTTATACTGGCGGGGCCATTAAAGTCACGAATTACCGTGATGTAAGTCTTTTCTCTACCGCGATGCCCACTTGTTGGGGCATCGTGACACTCATACATGATGCGCAATCGGAAATCATCTTGAGCGTGAACGACGACACGAAAGGTGTCTCCGTTGACTGCTGTATAGTACAGTAGTCCATCACGATCAGAATGCCGTTCGGTTAAAAAGCGGTATTGAGACGACAAACTTTTCAGAGCTTGACTAAGAGGGCTAGACACGTAATCCATCTATCGCAAAAGAGACTCAGCTTCTGCGCATGCTTTTCGCACGTCGTCGAGCAGATTTGACGACGGAATACTAACTGTTAGTGTAGCGACATTGGGATCACCCCTACTGTTGTGTTGAGCAGTCGGCTCGAAATCGGGCCGACGCGAAAGAGCATCAGCGACGACATTAAGTCGTCCTGGTTTATACTCGACGGAGAAGTTGTAATCCGCAAAGAAAGACAGCCACCTCTCCATTCGTTGCGAGAGGTGTGGACTGTTTACGGCCGTGCGTAACGACGCATGGTCGGCATAAACGATGAAGGGGCCTATATCCTAAGAGATATACCCAAAACTATGCCAGTGCATATTTAACAAAAAATATGCAATGCTTGTCATGCACCGGATAATTTTCTACGGCTGTTAAAAATATGGCCTTATACGTATTACTCGAAATTCATTCTTTTTTTATCTAGTACTAATCAAGTACAAGATTCTGAAAAAATTGATGAAATTTTGAAAGAAACAATTTCTTTATTAAACAATAAATATAAACCACTAATATATAAAAATTAAAGTAGGGCAGAAGTTTTTGTAAGTAAGTACGTTTTTTTTATTTAATCCAAAAAAATCATAAAACTATCCCATAGCTTTAATTTTTTTGACTAAATACTTCAATTTTCACATTTTTTTGGACTAATACAATCAATTGTAGAGTTTAATTTTAAAAGCTTGCTTGACTGTAAGATAGCCATGTCAAACAAGGACAAAAGTCGTTCATATTGATCCGATAATTCATTGTGGAAAGATTATCGCTCAACGGATAAAAGGTACTCCGGGGATAACAGGCTGATGACTCCTAAGAGCTCCTACCGACGGAGTCGTTTGGCACCTCGACGTCGACTCATCACATCCTGGAGCTGAAGAAAATTACAAGATTTCGGCTATTCGCCGATTAAAGTGGTACGTGAGTTGGGTTTAGAACGTTGTGAGAGAGTTTGGTTCCTATCTTCCATAAATATTTTAATAATGAAAGAATCTAACTCTAGTACGAGAGGACCGAGAAGGGTAAACCTCTGGTGCATATTTTGATGTTTTTTTATTTTATAATTGAATTATATATATATTATATCAAATTAAAAGTAAATGAAGATTTAACTGGTTCAGCTGCTTGCAGCTGACGCGATTGATAATAGACGACGCGCTCAACGCTGTCGGAGTCGTACTGCATTTATGCGCAGCTGATTGTAAAATCGATGGCTTCACAGACCACATGGAATAGTCTGTCCTGGTCTGCAATCTCCAACACAGGCGATTGCACCAAGCTTTTCTTGATGCCTTTAAAAGAGTGCTGGCACTCAGCACTTCATGACCACCTCCCGTTTTTCTTTAGCAGACGAGAGAGATGTACGGTCATCTCGGCGTAGTTGAGCGAGTACTTGTGCATGTACGCCGCCAAGCTAAGGAACCTTTGAAACCCACTTGACGTCAACTGGAACAGGCCAGTCACTAACCGCCTTGTTTTATAAATCAAGGTGTACACAGTGTTTACCCACGATGCAGCTAAATGCGGTATTTCGTTCGCTACGAATGTACACTTTTTGAGGCTCGCGAACAACTTATGCTCTCGCATACGTGTAAGGACCTTCCGGACGTGGATTCTATAAACCTTTAACCCCGCCTTTCTATCTATACCCAGGCTATGGAGGAAGACATCGTCAAAGTAACTCGGTGCAAATATCTCGCACCGATCGCAACAGACTCGTAACACATCTGGTAAACGTTGCGGGGGCGTTACTTAGCCCCTGTGGCATCACTAGTCACTCCCAGAGCATATCGTTGGGGGTGCTCACTGCTGTGTACAAGATGTCCCGCTCACGCATTAGGATCTGATAGAATCCATACATGCCGGTACCTTTGCGGCGTTCAATATGTTGAACTCGTGCACTATCCGCCACACTCCTGTGGCCTTCCTCCCACAGAAGGTAAGAGATGTGTGCTGTGTGGATGTTGGATCTCTCACATGACCGGCCGCTGAACATTCGGCAGATATTTTGTCGATCGCTGTGACCTGTTCACGAGGCAGTGGCCACTGCTTCATGACACAGTATTTTGGACCGGGTTTCAGTTTGATCTCATGCCGAGTGTCTTGGTACTTAGGCAACTCGCATGGCACGGATTCCGGGAAAACATCCCTGAATTCCACCAAATCCTTTACAAAGGATTTGTCTACAAAGACTCACAATATTGAGACATGAATCTCTCAATCCGGGTATACTCATCTAGGACACTCTCGTTCATCGATGAGCTACTAAGAAACCATCGTTCTCAGTAAGCACTTGTGCAGACCGAATATCGGCGACGTACTTGTCTTCTGTGACGGGTACGCAGATCAGCTTGATCTTGTTACTACGCAGATCTTGCAAGAATCTTTCAGATTCTAGCGTTGGCAACTTGATAACCTCCAGAGCTGACTTCGGAGGTGTTAATGGATCGAGCGTATAAGTGCCTACACTTGAACCGTCATTCACCAAGACATTCACTGTCTCGGTGACTTTCTGAAAAAACACATCCGCAGGTGGTTGGGTAAAAACACCCTCAACATAACTCTCTCGAGAATAATCACTTTTAGGAACGCTGGGACTTTCCTTTAATACGTGTACTAACTGTGGGGGTACTATATTACAGTCACGTCCTCTTCTATAGACCCTCTTTTAGTCGATCGCGTTTGCTTTGCGGTTGACTCGCTGATGGTCGATCTCGCTTCAACCTGTTGTTCATCCTGAGCAACACTAATCTCTCTTCTTGGATGCACCCTTCTTGGTGTGCATCCGTGTTCCAGCCCACTCGATCTCTTCGTGTGGTGAACCTTCGTTGCAGCCTGTGTCTCTACACTGGTGCCGAAAGCTGGTTCCACAGTGTGGTGGCCTTCTACATTGTGATCTTGTGCAATCGTACTAACGACCGTACCACAAGTGATGCCATCGCACTCACTCGTAGTACATCCACACGCTTGTGGACGCTCTAAGACATTCATAAGATGGCCATCTGATGAACGAACGGCAGGCATCTTCACGGATCGATGCTGCCAGCTGATCCATAGCTGGTATCTTCTGAGCCATGGCAGACCAAGGATGACATCAAATTTGTCATCCAAATTCAGTACGATGAAGTCATCATCGTACTGCTTTCCTTCTAGCGTGTAGTGGATTACCAGTACGTGTTTGACTACTGTTACGGATGCGCCTGTAGCAAGGCACACCGTCATCCTCGTTGGAGGGAACTCTCGCTCAACATAGTTGAGTCTAACATCTTCTAGCGACTGGCGTCTAATAAACTGTTAGACGCCCCACAGTCAACAAGGGCGCGAAGTGACATTCCACTTGTCACTTCGATCTTCAAAGTGATGAGAGACTCCTCATCACTAGGAGCAGTAACAAACAGCGACTGCGTGTTGGGAGCAATCTTCGTCAAGAGTCCTTAAAATTCTCTTGACGTTGCTGGATCAGCAGAGTGCTCCGCCCCTTTTGATCCTGACCATTTTTTGGCGGTCTGACTTGCTGTCGCGGCTGAGCGATATGGTCGGACCCACGCCTCGGGCCCTTCCTTGGCCAACGGCGGTCATCACGTCCTGTCTTTGGGCGTGTTGCGCTGCTTGGGACACTACACTCATGAGATTAGTGCCCGATCTTCTTACAGCGATGGCATCTTGCCGTTCGCTCGTGAATCGTAGAGAGAGAGTTCTCGCTCTCGATGTAACAGAGGTCCATTGGTTCGGGACCTCCTGTTTCCTGTCGCCTCGTCGGACGATAGTTTGACGAGTTAGCCTGAGACTGTCTCAGGCTGAAGTCTTCTTGTTACGCATACGCTATCGCCTTTTCCAGCGTATGGAAGTCCTCTCGGAACATGTAGGTCTTCACCGGCCCATCTAGAAAGCCGTAGATGAACACGTTGATGAGTGTGTGCTCATCAACAGGATTTTCTGCAACGCTATCAGCAAGGTAGCGTAGATGTTGTGCATAAGCATGCACATAACGCTTACCTTGCTTGAGCCTGAGGCGTAAAGTGCGTGCTTTGAACTCGGCTC